CAAGGTGATTTTCTTGTTGAGATTAATTTTTGTATCTTATGGTTTTCAGATTTCACTTGCATAATCACTAGAGACTCCTAAATGAATATCAAGTTGTTGTTTTTTCCAGTAAAACTATTATTTTATCTATTATTTTCTCTACCCTAACACTAAACAGACTGGGTCCATCTAACTGAACTGGTATTCATCACAAAAAAAATCAAAATAAATCTAAATTACCCTTTTTTCTTTTTAGAATGACTGCATGTTGTAACTGAAAATTGCAATTATTTATCCTAAACAGCTTAAGGTTTGTAACAATTGAAATATGTTGTTATTTAATTTTATAACTTTATCGCTCTTTGAAACAGCGCCTAATATCTAATCACGAGAGACGAATGCATAGCTCAAGTTACTGTGTTAAATTACGTAACTCACGAGCTTACCTATGAATAAATTTTACTTTTATTTTTTAACTTATGACGATAATAGTAGTCATAAAATAATTTTTATTTATTTCAAATATTCACTTAAGTACGTAACCTAATAGGCAAAAACATACAATCTCCTATAAGTATTATAATTTATAACTAACGGATAAATGCCTTAAAATAATTCCCTTCGTTGGTTGATCAAAAATCTGTGATGCCACCTTTTAATCAGTAGGATATATAACAGATAGGCACTCGTGAGAACGATGAAAAATATATATTATTACATAAATTAAAACTCTCTTTCTATTGGTTATAAATGATTTAATTACAAACGTCAAACAGCTTTAATGGTCAATTTTGAAATAGAGGAAGTCACGGGTGTGTGTGTGTGGAAAGTGAGTTTCAGTTTATGGTTCGTATCTCCCCAAAAAAATTGATTGGGCGCTATAAAATTAGTTTTTGCCTTACAAGTATCTAGTGGGTCGTACTTTGATCCAGTCGTATGCATAGGGTTAAATTATTTGTTTTTGTATAGAGTTTATATATATATACTACACAACATTTAAAACATTTATACTGCTACCAATACAATTAGTATGCTTTTATGAAGTGTGATAAAGGAATATTTGACTGTACATTTAAAACATTTATACTGCTACCAATACAATTAGTATGCTTTTATGAAGTGTGATAAAGGAACATTTGACTGTACATTTTAAACTAGTGTGATTATGCTACGGGTAAACTATCATGAATCAATGAATTGATACTTAAGTCTTAATTACAAATACGATATGTTTTGATGTGTATTTTCCTTTTAAGCTTTACAATACTGATGCCACTAGTTTAAAATCAAGGACAAATGAGAAATATTTAAATTTTGCATTAAGATTTTGCTTTGTGCAGGAATTACAGCAGCAAAATAAAAAAAAATATTTCTGTACTAGTAACATCTGTTGGGAGTACTGAACAATACGATTTTACATTCAGATATTTATCTAAGTAATGTATAGTGTCATCCAACTATCGTGTACAAATAAATAAATATATATATATAAACTTTTGCTGCAAAGAGAGGGTCGGCAAAGCTCTTTTGAATTGTTACAAACGATTAACGATTTTCTCTTGGGATTTGGTACTTCTCCCCCTTTCACACTCTCAATATACTAGCAGACCGGAGGCCACAGCTACAGAGCTCTCTCTGTTATATTGACATTTACCACCCATTGGTATTTCAAAATTTGCGCATGAATTTGTCCCAGCCTGTTACTTTAGTAAAATCGTCGGCAGAAGTATATTTAAACATCCAATATAAACTGGAGATTGTCTCAGTTTTGCCAAGTCTCGCGAGTAAACTCTGCCTTCCAAAACAAGCGGCACTATCTTTCGAAACAAGCCTAAAACAAGGGGAACAACAACCTTTTAAAACATGCACGAAACAAGCGGCACTACCTTTCGAAACAAGCCTAAAACAAATGGAACAACCTTTCGAAACAAGCCTAGAACAAGCGGAACAACCTTTCAAAACAAGCGGCACTACCTTTCGAAAATGCTCTTTTATGGCTTAACCTTAAATTTGAAATTTGTGCGGCTTAATTGGAATATAGAATGTGACAAGTGGGCGGGCCAGAAAATTTACGATTGTTTTTTTTTTTACTTGATCAAGAGTGTGGATAGAATGGTTCTAAAATCGTAGTGATGTGTAGGCTCTTCATTAACCCAGTCAATCATCGGAACTACTCTTACAATTATTTCACTGTATACTGAAGTCAGCTTTAACAAAAAACAACGAGGTGACCTCTGAATAAATCAAGCCCAAAAAACCGCAACCCGCGACTCTCAAAACTTTAAAGTGACTTAAAAAATCAACTCCGATTCCGCTTATTAAATGCGCATTTGGCAACACTGGAGCGTCTGATCAATGTCCCACCAGCTTGCTTGACAACCATCGCGAAATTCTCTGTGAACTCTGTGCAACCCATAAATGCTCATAGTCAGTAGTGATTAATTTAAGTCCTTCTGCACTTGCGCCTGTATCGTGTCAAAGATTTTCCAGTTCGTGTTGGATTCATCCATAGACGACTGCAAAGGTTCTTAAATCCAAAAGCACCCACTCTGTTCTGCATTTTTTCAATTACATCATTTGCCGAAGCTTGGCCTAAAAATTCAAAACTAACATATCTCGTTCCTACCTCATCCTACTTCACTGTCCAAGATGCAAAGGTGGAAATCTAACTATTTAGACTAGAGATGTTTATTCAAACTTTCGTTAAAAGGCAACACATATCTTTCCTGTTTTCTGATTTGGAAAGTAAAGTGGCGCGAGGTAAGCACATTTGGTTGCACAACATAAAAGCAATATCACTGTCTGAGAATATCAGCTCAAAAAGATTGCTAATCTTTTCACAGGATTTATAAGACTAGTGAGAATCAATGAAAGCCCAACGAACTTTTGCAGTCAAGATGTCATTCAAGTGGTATGACTGGAGGCCAAGTATTCTGTTTTCTATCTTCGGCTGTCAGTTTCATCAAACTAGATTTGGTTTTTGAAGACGATGTAAAAATATCCAAAATATTTGTGTTGGCTGTATCTGCATGTACCACTTCATCACGTTTTTTCTTGTTAGTACGACTTTTCAAGGCCGGTTCTTTCATCTTGGAAATATCAAACTTCTGTCACACAATTTACACCTAGATCGACTCTTGTACAATACAGTCTTTCTCTAACCTTTGAGAGTATTTAACGCTCAATAACAATAGATTGTGAAATTGTACACTTTCCTGGCATTTTAAACTATATTAAATTACAAAACTGCTGACAATTAAGCATACTGCCACTCGCCCGTTGTTTTTCATCAAACGTGAACAATGACGCATGCGCCTTCGTAGCCGTGTTCATTACTTAGTAACCATTTGAAAAAAATAAAATAAATAAAAATTGCGGAATAAGCTTAGGAACCAGTGACAGAGTGAAAACAAAACGTACTTAAAGAAAAAGATATAGTGCTGTTTAGAATATTGTTACGTCTCTGTGTTCGTTTGTTAATTTCCGGTATAATTTCTTTCCGATTAAACTTTAGCTATACAAGTCCTTTCTTAAATAAAACTAGTTTATTCTTTCTCAATACAACTTGCAATACACTTAATTTCCACAGTCACTTTCAACTTAAACACACGCTATAATTCACAACGATTCACGTACTTTACTTTTCTTGTAACACGTCATGAGATTCTAGAAGGATCATGTCTGTTCGTGGCAACTCTAGCCTTTTCTACGCGCCCTCTATTCTTGCATATAAGTGTACCAGATAAAGCGGGACTATTAATCGGAATTGCAGACAGGCAGAGATAGAGACGGACAATTGAGTCAAGCACGGTAGTGACCGGGTCACGTGACTTCCGCTGTCGTAACAATATATGAAATTTCCAGTTGTTTTCATTACTTTTCCAAAACGTTTTCTTTCATTTTCCAAGACATTTCAAAGCTTGGAAATAGTCATTTTCAAATTTCATGACATCTTCTGGATTTCCACGACTGTACGAACCTTGAATCCTTGCACTTAGAAAATATTAATACTTAAGCAATATGAGATGCAACATAAACAGGATGTCACATTTATATCTTATCTTAATCTAGTACTTATAAAATGATTCCGTACTATATATAGTTTTGTATCATGTTTTAGTGGGAAACTACACAATAGACTATCTATGGGCTGTCCACTACCAGGAATTGAACTCTGGATTTTAGAATTGCAAGTTCGTAATCTTAACATTGATCCAGCGAGGGACATATATAAGTTACCATTTATGCATGCATTAAATGTAAAATAATGAAAAAAGGATTAGGTGGGTAATTATAGACAGGATGAAAACGTAAAGTTGAGACATTATACCATAAGTTGGTGAATAGCTTTTACTTAACTTATCAAAATGTTTCACCATAATTTATAGTGGGTTTTTACAATAAATGTATATTCTGCTGTATAAATGTTGAATAACATTTGAAAGAACGAATAAAGCAATATAATATGATAATATCTTGGGTGAAATTATTTGTTTTATTCAAAGTCTTTATTTTTTATGTTTTTCCATGTTCTTATGGCCTTAATGATAGAGTTAATATTTTTATGTTTATTCCTTACAATATTTCGTATTCTAAATAGCCACTAAAATTAAAAACTTTTTTTCACCGCTTAATGATTCTATCCATTAGTTTCATGGGAAATATAAGATGTATATCGTAGCACTTTCTAGTAGTTACCGATATCAGAACATATATTACGGATTTTTCAGATCTGATTATTGGCCAAACTGATCCTGGATTATGGTTCTAAGAACAAAGTCTGTTTTTATAACCATAATCAACAATTATCGAAACCCTTTTTATGTTCCTCCAAACGAACCAAACTGTTGAATTTTTGACGAAGACAGAAATTATCATTTTAAAACACATTGTGAATTAGGTAATATTGGAACTGTACATCAACACATTAGAATTACATAATATTTCACATTTTGACTTAAGTAATGTTAAGGAAAAGTTGCTCTTCTGTGTAATTTTACGAACTGTGTATATATGTTTAGTTCATAGACTACATGACTTCGAAATCCGCGTTGGAAATGTGCCTGTTACGGAGGTTGGGAAACTTCTCACGAAGAATCCACTCTGCAGTAAGCATGTTGGAGGTGGAATTACCACTGAACCTGTTACCTTCGTCTGTGACCAACCATATCCTGTTGGGGGACGTTACGTCAGTATTCAGATTATAAAATATTGTAGCGGTTGCAGTGAACCAACTACAAATTACTTGCACATGTGTGAAGTCAAGGTGTACGGTTACAAGTTATGAAACTTATATATTTATGCAGTCACTGTTTGATCTATGGACTTTGTTTTCTGTCAATTAATTCTATAACGTTTTTAGAAATAGAATAGGCATCTGTGAGATATCACTGTAGTTGAAAGTAAAAATATATTCCATACCATAATTAAAAGATAAAGAAAACTGCAAAATTAACTGGTAAAAGTGAGCAATTTATGAAAATATTTCAAAATATTTTGAACATGCACATTTCTAGCTACACATGTGCTTTTAAGGAATGTTAAAGGAAGTTAAGGAATGTAGCTAAATTCAGTTTCCTCTATCTACCATTGTTCTTAGTTATTCTTCTTTGGTTCCACATACACTTTCTCGTGGGAAAGATTTTTGTTTAGTAGAACACATTATCTAAAGAAGAACAATGATCTTTTCTGTTCGAAGGTCAAGTAATACATTATGGGTAGGATCCTTTCTTATTTTTCAATTGGAATGAAGCCAGTGGTGGTAGTGCATGTGTATTGAGAATGCTCCCAGTAGCTCAATGATAATTCTGAGGGTCTATATTGCTAAAATATGATTTTGGTACCTACAAAATATAGAGAAAGATAGCATTATAAAAGCTTGTATGAAGTGCTACACTCTCTTAGTCTGGAAGATGTCAAGAAGTCAAGCAAAGTTAGCTTACAGTCAGTTTGTGTCTAGAGCTCCATTATAGCACTATATATTGAATTTTTGCACTTTTGCATGCCTATGATTACTTTCTTGTAAATAAAGATCACTTTTACCTTATTTGTATTGTGACCAGTCCCTTTCTTGATTCACACTCTGAGCCAAAGAATCCAAGTTAATGACGTACTAAATTTACAGAAGTTTCTCATACTGTTAACTTTACTATCCTTATCTGATTGGGAAAACAATATCTTTGGATGTAGTCACCTATGTCGGTAACATTCTGTTAAGTGTGTTACTATATACTGCTTCGATTTCAATGCTCATAGCATTGACTGGTCAATACTCTTTCTCTAAAGTGTGTTAGTAAATGCTGTTTGGGGCTCAACACTTATAACATTGACTGGTCAATACTCTCTGTATATTCTTGAGGTCAGACTTACCTGACTAAATAACCAGTTTCTTACAATCGTTTACCAGAAGAAAAAGTCTGTTCATCTGCACACACATTTTGACAACAGTGTACTAGATTTCTTCAATGTAACTTCATAGCATACCTTCTAAACAGAGCTTATTATATTTTTCTCCGTCCATCCTAAAATTGCCTTTTTAAAAGAGATTTTAAGAAAAGTTGCCCTTTCCATTTTTTTTTGGAAATCATAACAACGTAACTTCAAGACAAATAAAACTGCATCTGCTAAGAAATGCTACACCTATCTCAGAAGTCCTTCTAATTCTAACCCTTTCTTAGGCAAATAAACCATATTCATATCAACTCATTTTCAGGAATTAATCTTTTATATACACAAATTGAACGACGCATAATTTTCAAATCATCATTTCCAAATCACAATTCATTTTGAACAAAGGACTTTCTGTCTACTTCTCTGTGTTAATGGGATATCAGTAGGTATAGTGTACTCCAGACACACGCGCTGATTGGCTACCTAAGAGGAGGGGGTAGAAACAATGACGTCATAGCTCAACCAGAGGGTGCGTTGCTAGTGGCACTTTGCTTGGCCGTCATGACAGTGTACGATAGAAGTTGTCTGCTGCCATAGAGTGCATTGCTAGGAGAGGTCACATGACATCATAGTTGAGAGCTACCCAACAGAGAGTATGTTGCTAGGATACCAGAGGTACCAGAGGGCACTGCTGTATTAGGGAAGGTGACATCCTAACTCGACATCAGAGAGTATATTATTATAGGTTGATGGTGTTACCAAGGTTCTATAGGCGGACGGTGTTACTATGTTTCTATAGGTGGATTTTGTTGTTGAGGGTAGTGTTTGTATAGGTGGATGGTGTTACTAGACAGATGGACAGTGTTAATATATTTCTCTCAGATTGGATACAGATTTCAACTTGTCTCAACTTTTGTTTATAGTTTTCACTTATATATTTATTTTACTTGTGTTTTATAAAGGTGGATGATGTTTCTATAAACGGACAGTTTTACCATACTTCCGTGGTATTGCATACAGATTTCAACTTGTATCAACTTATGTTTATAGTTTTCATTTATATATTTAACGTGTGTTTTACAAAGGCAGGTGGTGTTACAAGGTGGAATGTGTTACTAAGGTTCTATAGGCAGATGGTATTACTTAACAATTTGTCTTACTAATGTCAGTGCTATTAGAGCGGATGATGTTTCTATAAACAGATAGCTCAATAGGATGATGAGCTCATCATAAAATGTCTCAACACGTGATTACATCATCGGCGTTGTAGTCTAGATTTAATTATTTGTCATAAAAAGTTACGAAAAAAACATTATTTTATTGAAACAACTATTATAGCAAAATGTATTACGTATGTCTGCTTTTATCACACATACTACCTTAATTTATCTATTATTTGAATGATGCAAATATTATAGTCAGTAATTTGCCTTACGCACTTTTACAATTATTTGTCGTAAAAGTGGCTTAACTGTATGATAATCGAGCGGTCATAACATGATGTATTGTAGACAAATTATTACAAACCACCACTCAGTATTTAAGAAATCAAGGAATGTCACTTATTTTGGTCATTGACTGTCCTAACTGTTGGTGAAGCAACTTTATCCAAAACAACAGTGAAGTCATTGTTGATGACCCAGCCAATCATCAACGTAGATATACTGCTCTTCCACTGGTATTTCCCCATTTTACTCATTATTAACAGTTTATCACCTGTATATTCCGCCTCCTAAGACAATATTATATGTTATAGTACTGTCAGCACCAGAATTAACTTGTTCATGTGACTTTGATTCCTGGAGTAACCAGTCCTTTTACACCAGGCAGGGTGCTCTTATTGCCAGAGGGCAAAACTGTTCTATGTAACTAAAAGATTTACAGAACATACTGTTACGACAGCGGAAGTCACGCAACGCTGGGAGCATGGACGCTGGAGTTTCTAGAAGGATGATGAATTATCGAGGAACTCCGTGAATGTTCTAGTGTTTGCCAGGCGCCCTCTTTTTTAGTATATAATCCTGGCGAGAAAAACCAGCGCGAGGGCAGACATATAGATAGATGGAAGAGATAGATATGCAGATAGATTGAAGATATAGATATGCAGATAGATTGAAGATATAGATAATAGAGTCAAGCGAACAGTATGCACCATAAGTAATGTGTGTGAACCACTGTGATTTATAGTGTGTGTTATAAAGGTTGTTAAGTTTAAAGTGACTGTGGAAATTCTGTGTATTACAAAGTTGCATCGAAAAAGAATAAACTAGTTTTAATTAAGAAAGGACTTGTATCGTTAAAGTTCACCAGAAAGAATTTACACCGTAAATTAACAAACGAGCAGATAAGTATCAATACACTTCCACATATCAAAGTATTTCATTGTTGAACTTTCAATAAAAACATTAATTTATTTAGTTTCATACATATATATATATTTAAAAAAAACTGCAAATTTTAATTCTGGATTTATAACAGTACCTGTGAATTTCCAGAATTACTTCCAAGCATAATAAGGCACTTAGAGTCCCCTAAGAGGAATGTCATAATAGCTTTGAACAAAGCAGTGCCAATTTGAACCATGCAGCAAGTGTAGCTTTTCAATTTTATAAATCACTATTTCTCAACCTCACTTGTCATGGTATTATATAAATGCTTATATTTCAACTTTAAAAAGTAATATAGTGATCTCAATACCAATAATGAAAGATCCTTTTTCGTTTTCTTCACCAATATAGCCTTATATGACTTCCAATTAGAATAGAATTAGAATAGCTTGGGGATATGTTGCTAGAAGAAAAGATGTTTGGAAACAGCTTCCACCACAGTTAGAGTCATTATCTTTAAAAATTTTGCTTTAGCATTTCATGTTTCCTGTGAATTATGATGCTGCAGTTATATCGGGAAATAAATGTTTTCGTGGTACAAGAAGAGGTAGAGAAATGTTGGGCTTAAATAGATTAAGACCTGTAATACAAACACAGCCTAACAAACAGTGTCCTTGTTGGAAATACAAAATGGCATATGTTCAAGAGAAAAATGTTTTTGTTGATTGTTTTTTAGTGTAAAGCTACAAAATGGCTTATCTGAGCACTGTACCATAGAGAATCGAACCCTGGACTTTTTGTTGTAAGTTCAAAACATTTCTGCTGATTTACATTGGTCTAAGTAACTGCTGAATTAGCAAACAAAATCACCGAAAGGAAATGTAAAAACGAAGATATGTGGATGAATATAAAACAAGTTTGAAAAAGCATTAGATATATTAAATGAAACCTTCTGATTAACAGTTAAAAAAGGGTCGTCCATATAATTTTGGTATGACAAAGAGTTATTTTTACTCTATGCTGGTAATGATAAAACTGCGTTGTTTTTTTTATTTAAAAAAGGACAAAGTTTACAGTTCTATAAACAGTTATTGGAACGCTTTACAACAATATAAAAATATATAAAAATTGGTAATTGAAATATGCAACAAAGGTAAATTAAAAACATATCACAGTGAAATCTGAGAATTAATGCAAATATTACATGTAAGGATATGCAATACCATAAACTATAGGACAGGTGTGTCAAATTGACACAACTGGGTGTTTATCACTTAAACTTGTCAATTTGTTTTATGCACAGATATTTGTTGTTCACCAACTGTAGCTCATAATCCACCTGATTGAACTGTCATCAGACAAGATATGGACCAGGCCAGCCAAAAGAGAATTCCATTCATAATGCTGGCATGTATTATTACCAAGCCAAAATCACCAGACTCAAAATTTACTTCCACTACTGTTTTATCTGGAATCTCTTTTGGCACATGGCTGTCTTGTCAGTTTGCAAGTTCACGAGCTTAATATTTTACACCTGAAATAAGTAGAGTGTCATACATATTGTACACTAAGAGTTGTACTTCTTGTTTGAACATTAGGAGAGAGATGAAATTAACAATCGGTCAAATGTTGCTCAACTCAGTTATATGATATGCAATTATGACGTACAAACTGTCAAGCAAAGTTTCTTAAACCAGACCAGACTGATTTGGATGGGTATGTACTGTATGGTCAATTCAGCTAAACTATCAGACTATGGTGATAGTAAAATACACTTTTATCCCCAAATCTAACACTTGGCAAAACGGCTAATATGATTGATGCAAAACGTAAAAAAAATTGAGATTCTCAACTTGGCTGTGGTTTGGACCAGTCTTTGATTAATGCAGTTTTCACAGGATTGGTGGACACTAAATCCTTATCTACCTGATGATGAAAAAACCTTGTCGAAACGTTGTACAGCTGCTGTTATGTTAAACTTATATTAAAGTTTGTCTTCATTACCCATTCAAGCCGTCTCCGAGCATTATTAGTCTCAAAGTGGGTTCCTCGTCATCGAATTACCTACTTTATGTGCAAGAAAAATAAACACTTCTTTTTCATGAATGCACATTTTCCTGATTTTCATTTCGAAATCGAAAACTGTATCCTTCATATGTTAGAATACCATTTTTGTGTTCTTAACAGTATCTTGTAATGTATGATCAAATGACTTGTATGTAAACCATTGCAGTACTTAAAGTGTAAGCTTTGTCAACCTCTTAAATCTTATACACACCAAATGCAATGATGTGAAAGCAGTTTTAAATCTACTCTTGCCACCCAGCTCAATTTACCGTTATTATAAAGCTCGATTATATGTATTGAAGCAATGGATGACTTTCATTGTATCCAGATACTTATCTGTATCAAGTTTAAGAATACAGCCCTCTTTGAATGTTCACCCAGTTTCAATGCTTGCAATAGTCTTGGTGCTCCAAGGAAGTCTGCATAATGTATGTTTTATCAGACAGTATCCTATGTATCTATGTGTGATTGTTATCTGACCTGATTTGCCATCTGGTCCTGAGCAATTCAGTAACATTACACCTTTATGTTGAGTTATCCCAATCTTCAACTAGCGATTTCAAATGC